AGAAAATCCTAAATTCACTGAAAGTCAATTTCAAAGAAGATTTAGGATGAGTCGTCATCTTTTTCTTCGGATCGCAAATGCAGTGAAAGCTTATGATCCATATTTCAAACAAAGGACAGATGCTCTTAGTGTTCTTGATTTATCTTGCCTTCAAAAGATAACTGCAGCTCATAGAATACTTGCATATGGTATTCCTGCAGATCTTACTGATGAATATCTTTGAATTGGAGAAACCACTGCAATAGAAAGTCTTAGAGCTTTCATCAAAGCAATCGTAGAAGTTTTTGGTGATTGGTATCTAAGGGCACCAAACGAGGCCGATATTTTTCGATTATTATCAATTGGAGAGTAGCGTGGATTTCCAAGGATGTTAGGGAGCATTGACTGTATACATTGGAAATGGGAGAAATGTCCAATTGCATGGCATAGGATGTATACTGGTCATTGTCGGGAACCAACTATAGTTCTAGAGGCGGTGGCTTCACAAGATCTTTGGATATGGCATGTCTTTATTGGAATGCCTGGATCATTAAATGATATTAATGTTCTTGATCGGTTACATATCTTTGCTGCACTTGCTGAAAGTCGTATTGTTCCTGTCAATTATACAATTAATAGGCATGAATATACAATGGGATACTATTTAGCAGATGGGATTTCTCCTAATTGGTCAACCTTTGTAAAGACAATCCCAAGACCATTAGGAGCAAAGAGAAAATATTTTGCAAGCAACCAAGAGTCTGCAAGAAAAGATATGGAGTGGGCATTTGGGGTGCTCCAATCTCGTTTTGCAATTGTACATGGACTTGTTCGATACTGGGATGAAGAAATACTTGCATATATTATGAAAGCTTGCATAATAATGCATAATATGATTATTGAGGATGAAGGAGCAATGAACCTTGGATTTGACCATGAACATGAAGTCAATTCCTTTATATCAGTGTCACATGGTGAAATACTAGAACTACATGATTTTTTCCAAACTCATAATCAAATTAGGGATAGAGCAACTAGCTTTCAACTACAAGAAGATTTGATTGAACATTTATGGAAATAATATGGCAACAAGTAGAATCTTTAGATTTTAACTTCTTATGTTATCATAATTTTCAAGTTTTTTTATGTTTTTTTTTTCATTATGTTTGTTATCTTTTAAGTTAATTAATCCTACTTGTTATTGTTAAGTGTTAGAGGAACTTTAAAAAAGTATTATGAATTGATATCAATTTCATAACAATATATTTAAAATAACCAAGAATTTTCTACATGTTTAATTAAAAATACATTACATTACAATAAATCAATCAAAGTTAATTAAAAATCAAAACCCATCTTTTGCATAATTTCTAACTTTCTATTTTGAAAATACACTGCAGAAATTGGATCCAAATTATAAATATCCATTTTCATAATTCGTTCTTCTTTCTCAATCCTATCCAATTCTTGTTTCTCTTGACTTTGTTGAATCATCATGGCTTGTTGCTCTAACATAATTTTCCTGTCTTGTTTCTTCTGATCCTCAATTTCAATAAGAGTATCTTTGAATTGTTGTAAGAGATTCGTTACAGTTACATCCCCAACTTTATCTTTTCCTTATCTACGTTTAAGTTGTTCCTTTGCAGCCTTCTGACCGATTGGTCTATCTTGATAAATCAATGGTTCACTATCTTCTCCTAAACTAACAGAATTAGGGATAGATGGAGTTGATGAAGGCAGACTTGCATTGACATGACCTTTTTGTTTCTTATTTGACCTTTGATGTTGACTTGCACGCTCAAATTGTCATTTGGGTTCTTTTCTTAAAATAACCTAACAATGTTCCAGTTGAAATCATTTGCCAACGCAAGAAGCATACATTTGCCGAGCATCATTAATCTGGTAAAAAAATAAATTAATTAAATAATGTTAAAATATATGTTAAACAATTTAACATAGAAATGAATATTAACATTACCCTTGATTCTTCGATCATTCCACTTTGCTGATGATTTTTAATTTGAGTAACAAATCCAACAAATTTACCGACTTCTCTATTTATTTCTTGCCATCTACTTAAGATGCTTATTTGTAAACGATTATTCAAGTTTCCTCCATTATATACAAAGTAAGCATGTACGCGAGCCTAGAACTGTTTTGTTTGTTGTTCAACTCCTGTAATTGGATCCTTGCTTGTATTTAGTCATGCAAAGACAAGTAAACAATCCTCT